TGAGAAAGTCGCCTACACTTGAGTCATGTTGCTATCTCTCTGGAAGACAAGACAAATAAAACCTTCATACTTGGGTTTGAAAGCCTTTGTTATCTACAGACTACAGGTCCTTTGACACCTCAGAGCAGAACTGTCCAGCAGTTTGTGGGGTGATGAAACGGCCCACAAGTGCATTAGCCACGTGTGACTACAAATCGCTTGAAATGTGGCTGTTAAGGTAAAAAACTGATTCTTAATCTCACTTTATCTTATCAGCTATTTGTAGCTACCATGTTAGGTATCAAAGTTCTAGAGCAAGTAGGAGTTCCAGATTGCTAAGTCAAATGTTTTCTTCCCTTCTCCCCAAAAGGTCACCACTGAAAGAATTAACATGAAGCTAAAGTCAACCACAGAGGATGCTGCTCTCTTGCCAGGTAGGAAAAGACAGCAAGACCTGCCAGCTTAGACTCCAAAGAAAACTCAAAGAGGCTGGTAACCAGCCTAACTGCTGAGAAGGGGCATTTCTTTAAACATGGAGAGCCGGTCCATGGCAGAAATCTTCCCTACTTCCCCACTCAACCCCAGCTACGCAGAAAACCTGAGGAGTCACATTTCCAAACAGAACCACTGACCACCCTGACATTAAGAAGCTTCCAACCTTGCTCTCACCCCTACCCTAAGGACTAAGAGGCAGCTCACAAGGGTTCCAAGTTCACGGCCCCCTAAAACAGCTTTCTTGCTTGGGTCAAATGCCTGAGACTCACATCGTCCCCATCTGTGGCCCTATAGATTGATTACTACTTGGTAAAGCTGGAACTATAGGACAAGAGGGTAAAAATTTAGACAAATTTAAGCCCCAGGAGACCATGCGCCAGTTCAAACCCTCAGTGGCATAGCAGAAGCCTCTGGTAGGAATGAACTCAACTCTTGTCAGACTGCTGCTAGCACGGTCCCCAATACATCAGCCCCAGATTCCTAAACAAGTCTACAAAAAGCTGAGGGCCTGGATCCCTCATTAGGCCATGCTGTGCCTCATAATAAGTGGCACCGCCAAAAACACCAGCACGGGCTGGAAGCATAATTTGAGTCATGCCTCACAAGTACCTTTTGAAGAATTTCCCCTGCATTGTGGAAAACAGTTCTAAGCCTGTTAAGCTACCATTAGGAATGCCAAACCTATATTTACGAGGAATGTTATGCTTTAAGGGTGTGACCAGTGAGAAAGCTCACATCTACTTCTTACATATGGCTATGGAGGACAGGAAAACAGAAACAAAAAGCCAACAGGTTATAAAACATTATGAACCGATATTGGAGGACAAAAAAATTATTCACATAAATACCTTTTAGATGTTAGTAAAGGTTTATAACTCCCTATCTATAACCCTATGGACAGGTACTGGGGTGTTGTTCAGTAGTAGGGCATGTGCTTAGCATTGAGAGGGCCCTGGGTTCAATCTCAGTCATCAAAACATAAACAAAATGAAAAATCCTATGGAAAGATGATCTAGAGTAGAGTTTCAGGGATTTTGTGAAGATGATAATAGTTTTAAATTACATTCCATAATATTCTCTATCATGTCTAAGAAAAAAACTTGGCACCAAATACATTAATATTACTACAGAAAAATAAATTTACGTTAATTCTGGTCAGGTTTTGCTGGCAAATTAAAAGCCCTTTTGGGTTTTGAGAGCACACCTAAGGGATTATAGGTCTTTCTCCCACTGCTGGTTACGTATCTTGGGATTATTGTCATTAAAACTTATGTTGCTTCAAGTCGATCTATTCTGACCAGCATGTGGGTTTTTCTTTTTCTTTTTTTGGTCGAACTGGGGTTTGAACTCAAGAGTTCGTGCTTGCAAAGCAGGTGTTCTACTACTTGTGCCACACAGCCAGTCCATTTATTTTAGAGAAGGTGTCTAGTGAACTATTTGCCTGGGCTGGCCTCAAACCTTGATCTTTCTTAGCCTTGCAAGGAGCTAGATTACAGGCGTGAGCTACCAGTGCCAGGCTAGTACACAGGTTAGATTAACATTTGGGCTGGGCTACAGCTTAGAGGTAAGTGTTAAGGTCCTGGGTTCCATCCCTAGCATTGGGAGAAAATAAAAAACCAAAACACTTGTTTTCCTGGCAAGGAGGCTAATTCAGCAACAAGTGGAATTCACTGAGGGATGAAATCACAAGTGATAATTTTTCCAATGTGTTCCTTTTACAGTGAAATTATCTCACTTTTCCTAATTACAAAAAGAATTTTAATGGCTACAATGAACCCAAGACAAAGCTGGATCACTTCTATTCAAAATGAGCAACAATGAGAAATAATGTGAAGACCAGGCCCCCACTTCATGGATCAGAACAACAACAACAAAAAAGCCCAGGGTCCTTTATTTGGCTTCCTGAAATGGTCAGTTTTAGAGGAACCTCTGAAATGTGACTTCCATGCCTATCCAGAACTGGGTTTGGTGACTTAGGTGAAGCCAGAACCAAAATCAGATGTGAGGTCTAGGACAAAATGGGTCTTGTTTTTTTTAATACTGCCATTTTTCTTTGGCACTAAAGAACACAGAGAACCCACATTTGACTCTTTAATAAGTAGTCTAAAGTTTCCCTTTACTAAGGCCTTATCCTAAGGTAGGTAGACTTGAGACACACTGACCCGCCAGATGAGACAAAGCTGCAAATCTCAGGTAGTTGTCACCTCCACTCTGCCGCACCCAACTGCTGCCATAAATTTCCATCATGGGCCCTGTCCAAAAAGGAGCTTATTCTAGGAAGAATGTAACCCACCAAGGCTAGCGAGGACAAAGCCTCAAATTTCTCAGGACCAACAAGCACATGATAAACTCACTTTCTGCCTACAGAGAGGCTCCTTCTTGTTCTCTTCGGCCTTTGCATCCTGCTGGGCAGCATCTTTGGGCGTGTTCACTGCTAAAACATCATTTATAGTGGAGCCAACCACCATGATCTTGGCTCCACTGGTCACTTTTATTTCTCTCAATGTCTTATCTTCAGGGACAAGTCCCTTATACATGACCTTCTGCATGGCAGGAGGGAGACCTTGGGAAAAGGTAAAGAGAAGTGAAAGGAACAAGTGAAAAATATATGGATCATGGCCCCTTGGTAACAGAACAGGAAATGAACAATGGCTCCATTGCCAACTAGCTTTGTGAATCTGAGCAATTACATCATTTGAACCTCAATTTTCAGAACTGTATAATAGTGATGAGATAGAGCCTTCTGGTTACACTTATTTTAAGAATTAAGAGACAGGCCAGGTGCCAGTGGCTCACACTTGTAATCCTAGCTACTCAGGAGGCAGAGATCAGGAGGATTGGGGCTTGAAGCCAGCCCCAGGAAAATAATTCGAGAGACCCTATCTGGAAAGAAACCCAGCAGGAAAAAGGGCTGGTGGAGTGGCTCAAGGTGTAGGCTCCGAGTTCAAAGCCCAGTTCCGCAAAGGAAAAAAAAAAAAAAAGTTAAGAGACAGGTCAAACACAACATTTAGTACAGTTCCTGTGATTAATTCAGTAATTAATCACTGAATCCCAACTATCATTCTTTCCAAGTCGTTCTCAACCATCTAATCACTGGAGCATTAAGTGAGAATTCACAAGTGGCAGGGACGCAGAAACCAATAAGGTTACTGTTCTTATAGGTTATATGGAGAAACGTTTAAAAGAATCACTTTGAGTAGCAAAGCAGTATAAATTAACAAAAGCGAGCAACTATGAAAGGCCAGCATGGCAGTCAATACCAGTGTTTCCTAAATTTTCCTTAGAAATTACCTGATATTTGCAAAAAACAAAGAGGGGGGGAAGATCAACATCCAGGGGGAAGGGCCGCGGAGCTGTAAATTTAAAACGAGTCTCAGGTGATTTTTGTTAGCCATAGTTGAGCAGAACGGGCCTAAGAGTCGGAGCTGGGCTTGAAATCTCGGCCCGGCCCCCCTGCCAGCTCTAGGCTCGTGCTAATAAAGGGCCTCGAGTGCGGACGTGGAGGGCTGCAGGGAGGACCAGGGGGAGACGATCGGGGAGGGCGAGCGCGGCGTCCGCAGGTGGAGGGGGGCGCCGGCTGTCAACGCCGCCCTTACCTGTGATCGCGTGAATCTTCTGCTTGAGCTCCGAGCCGGTGCTGTCCAACGGGACCTTCACGTCGTGCTTGGTCTTGTTCCAGATGATCTTCAGGTCCACCAGCTCCCGGCCCGCGCCGCCGCCCGCGTCCTCGCCGTTGCTGACCGAGGCCTGGGCCGCGGGGTCCCCGGGGGGCTGGGCCGGCGCCGGCTGCAGGCTACCGCGCGCGTCGCAGGAGTCCTCGGCCGCCGCCCCCGCCGCGGCTTCGGCCTCCACACAGTTAAGGGGCCGCGCGGGCGCCTCGGCGGCCACGGTCTCGGCCTCCGTGTCCATGCCAGGCTCCTCCATGCCTGCAAAGGAGGTTTTAGGGGGTGGGCGCTTGCCGCGGTCTGAGCCTGGGACCAGACCCTGCCCAAGCACCGCCGCTCCCGCGCCACGCTCCTCCCTCCCGCGCCGGGTCGCCTCGCCTCCCCTCCCCCCAGCGGCGCCCGCAACCTCGGCCCCAGCCGGGCGCCCGCCTCCCCCTCCGCACTCACCATCCGGGGCTCCGGCCGCCGCCATGATGATTGTGTACAACACCCACCACTCCCGCACAGGCAGCTGGGAAGAAGCGAGCTGGCTGAGATTGGCCCCCGCAGCAGCCCCTAATCTGGCCCAGCCTAGCCGGAAACAGGTGGAGGTTTCTATGGAGACCCGCCTCCTCCGCTTCCCCAGCCCGGCCCTGCCACGCTTTAGCTTTCCCAAGTCTAGGGGGGCGGGTCCGGGAAAATGCCCGCTCGCTGGGCTCTGCCCTCTAGCGGCGGAATGCCGCCTCAGCCATACAGGGGGCGTGTGCATGTGAGCTAGGAGGCCTGCGACTTTAAGGGGCGGGGCTGCACTCGCTGTGGCGAAGGCGGATTGGCTGGCAGGAGTCTCCGGAAGTGTCGCAGGAGCAAGCCCACGTGTGCGAGTCCACCCCACATGGCGCCGCTCCTGAAGAGGCTGCTACGACCCGAGACAACCCTCGCGGCCTTTGGCCGCCGCGAGGGACGACGTGAGGCCAGCCAGGGCACTGATCCTGGGGCTGCGGTGCGAGTGCGGTTCGCCCCCAGCCCCACAGGTAACCTTGGTGGACATGACGCTGCCTGCCGGGGGCCTCTCCCTTCCCCCCTCCAGTCCCCGCCTCCCGAGCGTTCCTGAGCCAGTCCCTTCCGGTGGTTCGTGCGACCCCATTTTACAGATGTCGAAGTTGAGATCCAGGAGTGGAAATAATTCGCAATGTCACAAATTTTTTTTTAGTATTTTCAGCCTGTTCCTTTTTTTTGGTGGTGGTGGTAGGACTGGGGTTTAAACTCCGGGCTGCGCGCTTGCACAGGAGGCAATCTGCTGCTTGAGCCACACCTCCAATTCATTTTGCACTGATTATTTTGGACAGGGAGTCTCCTGCGCTATTTGCCCTGGCTGACCTCCCAGGTAGCTTGGATTACAGGTGTGAGCCACCACACCCAGCACTGATTTCATTTTTATTGTAGTGTAGCATGGCTTTTAAGTCTTTGTTCTCGGGTACGTTCAGTAAACACATATCGAGTGTGAACTGCCAGGTGCTGGCCCCTGTGATACAGCACTCATCGAAAAAATTAGGGCTCCCTACCTTCAAAAACCTACATTTTGATGGCCATGATAGATACCTATAAAAAGTTACTTTAGAGTCACATGTACCATGGGGGAAATGAACCAGAATGGGAGACTGGAGGTTAGATAGGATGCTGAGAAGATAACATTTGAGAACCAATGGTAAAAAAAAGCACCTGTGTGAAGCCTACGATAGGAATCTGGGCAGAGGAAATGCAAGTACAAAGGCCCTATGGTTAGTGTTGAGAGCTTATGAAGCCAGCAGGTTAGCAGAGGACCAGTGTACAGTCTGTTAAGAGATCTTGTCAGCCTCACCGAACACCACTACCACACACCAGTTCCCAACATTCTTTTCTTACCCAAGTTGCCTTCTGCCCACTTAACACTGAGCGGATCTTCGTGGCAGAAGCTCTCTGGGCAGCCACTATTCTGTAGAGCTATGCTTCTCAAACCATGTGTGGTGGAAGCTCTGGTTTTTAATTTCCAGTTGCCAATCAGTATTTGTATAAGATCAACATAAATGAATTACTAGAAAAATGAAAATCTTGAGAATATACCATATAAGCCCATTTCTCTTTATTAGGTTCAATAGACATAAGATTACTCTGAAATTGTTATAAGTTGCTAACCCTTTACTCTGTGTGTATGTGTACAGGTCGTAAACTGAGAACAGTTTGCATAACAGCACAGGACTGCATACCTTGATTTGAAAAGCACTTCTTTACAGTGTTTCAAGGCCTGAGATGTCTGGATCATATTATGGTCTTTACCAACTCCTAGATGAGTAATTTGGTCAAATTACTTAACCTCTCTGGTCATCAGTTTTGCCATCTGTCAAGCAGTGCTAATAGTACCTGGCTCATGGGTTTGAGCCAGTGCAGCACAACCATTTAGCAAGATCTGTTTACAGAGAAAGCATTTCATAATCAGGAGCCTCTATTGTGATGATTGTAATTCTTGTTATCTTGCCAACTTGCAGGAAAAGCCCAAATAGGAAAGGCTGTTGACTGCAGATGTAAGAGAATTATCAAGCATCATAGAGTACTATAAATAGTTAACATTAATTGAGGGTGTACTTTGGTCAGTATTCAGATACCACAACAAACCCACACTAAGTAGGTTCCCATTATTTTTGTTTTTAGTCCTCTAGCAGATGAGGAAATTGAAACCGATGAAAGTGAAGTAACCCATCTGAAAGATGGCAGCTAGAAAATGGTGGACACAATTTAAATCCAGGTTTCTGTCATGGAAGAGGCCTTGTCTTCTCCCTGGGGACTACTGGGAACCAGTGCTACTACTGGGCACCCCTGGTTTTATGGTGGCTTTGCAGTAACTAGCCAAAGGTCACACAGATAATCAGTGTTGAATCTGGGTCTGCTGAGCCCCAGAAGAGCTTCTCCTATCCTGGGCTGCCGGGGATACCTGGAAATGCAGATGAGCTCATTACAAATGCAGATAAGCTAGTTAGTAGAGACACCGAGATCCATGGGCTGGACCAAAGAAAGTAGAGGAAAGGGGTAATGACAGCCCTGGAAAAACTTAATTATAAACTTTCAGTCAGAAATGATGAAAAAGATCTTGAGTTTGAATGCCAATGAAGGAAAAGCTGGTGAAATTAAAGATTGGTGTGGTCTGGTTTTCTCTGAAGGTGAAAGTCTCAAGTAGGCAAGAGGCAAATTCTAGTGTAGGCATAGTGTGCAGGGTGTACATGCAAAATGTGATTTTACAGTGTTTTAAATTTGCTATTTGGCTGGGAGTGGGGCTCAAGTGGAGCGCCTGCCTAGAGGAGTACCCCCTCCCCCCAAAAAATTGTTATTCACTTGCAATTCACTTGGGGTTTTTTTTGTTTTTTTTTTTTTGCCTGAATTACATCATTAAATTGGTGTAAGTTAAGTGCCAGAGTGATATGACTTAAATGAATAATTTTCTGCTGCTTTTCTTTTGGGTGAAACTTGACCTTGAGACAAATATCAAGGTAAAGTGATGGGTGCATTTGGGAAGGTTGGCAATTTTTTTACACAAGGACATGTTCCAAAACCTGGGTGGCCTTCCATTTTGAGGATGAAGGACCAAAGGAGTGTGCCAGCCTTTCTTTAGCAACTGTCTGGCTATGTAGGTATTGGCCACAGAGATGGGACAGACACAGCTGCCTCTTGGTCTTTGAAATGCTTTGGAACACTGTCACATGCAGCATTTATTTGTCCCTCACTGAGGCCTGTGAGCCCATTGATCCTGTTTTGGCTTCGCTGTTCTCTTCCACCAGGCTTTTTGCACCTGGGCGGCCTCCGCACTGCCCTCTACAACTACATTTTTGCCAAGAAGCACCAGGGGAGCTTCGTCCTGAGGCTGGAGGATACGGATCAGACCCGCCTTGTGCTGGGAGCTGCAGAGAACATTGAGGATATGCTGGAGTGGGCAGGTGAGACTGGTGGGAAAGTCCCTTCTCCTGAGGAGAAGCAAGAAAGGGAGTCTGTAGCTCTCACAGCATCCAGGGTGGACACTGAAGGGCTCTTGGGAAAATGTTACATCTGTGCCCAAAACTGCCAAGGCTCTCTGAAGCTAAGCTTGAGGCTATTTGGGGATTCCTGTTCTTATCTCACAATCTTAAGTCTGTTCCCTACAGGGGCCAGGCAGGAAACAGGTCACGTGGGAACTGGAAGACATGGGAGGACAGGAGCTCCAGCCATGCGCCAGGGGAATTCTGGCCCAGCTCACCTGGTCTTCTGGTTCTAAGAGGAGCCAGAAATCACATTTTTTAAATGAATACTTCCCATTGTTAAATGGGGGCTTGGATTTTTTTTTTCTTTTAACCACATCATGTGAGCCAAACGAAATGCATGCAGCCTCTGAAGTGGACCTTCTGGTGGGAAGTTTAATCCTGACAGCTAGACCCAGGGAGAACAAAGAGAGGAATGTGTTTCCTGCATCAACACAAACCCCTAGGGTCCCAGTAGGTCAGAGACCACTGAAGAAGGGTAACAGCCTCAAGGAAAAGTGCCAAGACTGTTTCAAGATGTGTGTTTTCCTCACAGGCTAATTATGCACTAGACCCTGAGTTCCTGAAGGGCTGGAACCCATTTTATTTCTAGCTTCTATCCTAGAAGGTTTTAGCTCAACCCTCTTTTGTCATTCATCAAATGAAGGAATTTATTCAATAAGATCATTTACCATGATCCAGGCTATGTTCCAGGGCTCAGTGAGAAGGCGAAGACAAATAAGCAGACTCATTTTTTTTTTTGTGTATGTGTGGTCCTGGGGATTGAATCTAGGATCTCATGCATGCTAGGCAAATACTAAGCCACTGAGCTATATCCTCAGCCCTTTTTTTATGTTTTTGAGACAAGGTTTCACCATATAGCCCAGATTGTCCTTGAACTTGTGATTCTCCTGCCTCAGCCTCCCAAGTACTAGTATTATAGGTATGTGTCACCACACCTACCTAGCTAGATTACTCCTTTTTTTTTTTTTTTCAGTCCTGGGGTTTGAATTCAGGGCTTTGCATTGCCAGACAGGTGCTCTACCACTTAAGCCATGCCCCAGCCTAACTAATTTATTCGTAACGTGGTATTAAGCGATGCTGAGTTGTGGAGAAGAGTTAATATGGTAACCGGAGTGAGGGGATGCTTTTCTATGCAGGGTGGTTGCCTCTGAGACAGAGGCTGGAATGAAGCAGGACTAGCCTTCTAACCTACAGGAAGAAGGTTCTGGCAGAGGGAATCACTGTGCAAAGGCCCTGTGGCAGGGAAGTACTGGATGCAGTACTGAAGCATGATAAGGAGACCAGTGTGACCCTAGGACAGGGAACAAAGGAAAGGAAAGTGCCTGGAGACATGAGGACAAAGGGTTGCCAGGACTCAAATCACGTAGTGCCACACAGGCCCAGTGAAAACTTCAGCCACGTGGAGAGCCTGCCACAGTCAGGTTCAGGGCTGGGCACAAGGATACAGTGTGAGCGAGGCGATGACCCTGCCCTCTGGGGCTCCCAGCCCAGCACTGTTGTGTAAATGAGGCCTCGGCCCTTCTCCTCTCCCAGTGTTTCGGCAGGACGGAGGGTGGGGGTCCAGGTCCTCCAGGGTGGCTGCCTTCCAGAGCTCCTCACTTTAGGAATCAACACTTTTTTAATAAAATTTACCATTTCAAGTTAATCCAATTCAATGGTTTATAGTATATTCACTATACTGAATAACCATCGCCACTAATTCCAGAACATTTCCATTACCCCGTAAAGAAACCCTGTACCTACTGGCAGTCTCTCCCCATTCGCCCACCCTCAGCCCCTGGCAACCATTCTTAACAGACATTTCATGTAAATGGCATTATACATATAAATGGCTTCCTCCACTCAGCACAGGTTGGTGTTATGGCCATACATAGGATTCCTTCCTTTTCATGAGCAATTGGTATCATTCATTCATATCCATGCACCTGTCTTCGTATCCGTCTACCAGTGGGTGGGCATGTGAATTCCCTCCATATTGTGGCTACTAGGAATAAAACTGCTGTGAACATCGGAGTGGTAGTTCTTGTATGAACAAGGTTTCACTCCTGGCGACTCCTAGTGGAGTCTTAAACTTTTGGGCATCCCAAGATACCACTTTAAAAAGACTTGTTTAAACTTCTGTCTGGAGCCAGGTATGGTGGTGCATATCTGTAATCCTGGCACTTGAGACTGAAGCCGAAGGAATGAAAATTCAGGCCAGACTGGGCTACATAGTGAGACTCTGTCTGAAAAAAATACAGAAAAAGGGGAGGGGAAAAAAAGGAGGGCAGAAGGGAGCAGAGTCCTGAAAAGACAAATAGGCCAGTACAAGGAGTGGTTAAGAATCTGGGTTTTGCCAGGTGCTGGTGGCTCACACTTATCATCTTAGCTACTTAGAAGGCAGCGATCAGGAGGATTATGGTTTGAAACCAGCCTGGGCAAGTAGTTTGTGAGACCCTATCTTGGGAAAAAACCCTTCACAAAAAGGGCTAGTGGTTTGGTTCAAGGTGTAGGCACTGAGTTCAAACCCCAGTACTGTTTAAAAAAACCTGGGTTTTGGGGCTGGTTGGCCTGGGTTTAAGGATGGTGGAGCTCCTTATACTTGGCCAGGTGGTGTAATGGATAACTGTGTGCCTCAGTTTCTCCTCCCAGGATAAGGTGGAATCAGCCCTACCCAGGAAGGAGACTTGAGGCTTCGGGAGGTCACACACCTCGAAAGCAGCCTGCAGGGCAAACACCCACATCATCACTCTTCTTGATTCTTGGGCACAGCTAGTGGTGGCACAGAAGTCCAGCCAGGCCCAACAGGCTGGGTCTTGAGCCTTAAGCCTTTTTCTCAGTCTGCTGTTTCAGGCCTGGGTTGGTTTCTTCCTCACCAAGAAAATGACGCACGGGAGAGGATGTTCAGTGGAGAGCCTGTGCACCTCCCTTCACACCTCCCCCTCCACACTGTATGACCTTGAGCACTCAGCCTCTCTCTGTTTTCCCTTTTCATCTCCAAAGGGGAATTTTAGTAGCATTGATCTCATGAATTATTATGAGGTTTAGAAAGTTTAATATGAGCTTATGTTAAACTTATGTCTATAATTTCAGCTACTTGGGAGGATTGCTGATTTGGATAAAAACACGAGCTGGATGTGTAGCATGTGCATGTAATCCCAGGTACAGAGGGTTGTAGTCCCAGGCCAGCCCAAACAAAAGCAGGATATCCTATCTGAAAAAGGGCTGGGGATGTGGCTCAAGTGGTACCCTCCCCCCCACATTGAAAAGTAGATAAAGTTTAATGTGTGTGGTGTGTGGAAAGCACCTAGAATAACACTTGAGACTGAGTGCTGTATGCATTTCAGGTATTAGTACGGATAATGATTCCCTGTCTCTTAGGCATCCCTCCTGATGAAAGCCCCCGCAGGGGTGGTCCTGCTGGGCCCTACCAGCAATCTCAGCGGTTGGCACTGTATGCCCAGGCCACAGAAGCACTGCTGCAGTCGGGAGCTGCCTACCCCTGTTTCTGCTCGCCACAGCGGCTACAACTTCTGAAGAAGGAGGCCCTGAGGAGCCACCAGACACCCCGGTGAGAGCCTTGTTGCAGATGCCTCCCCAAAGTGAGGGCATACTGTCCATTGCTGCATAACCAGTTACCCCAGACTTTTGTTGCCTCCCGTTTTCTGTGCGTCAGGGTCTAGGCAGGGCTTAGCTGGGTTCACTGGCTCAGGGTCTCTCTCTACAGAATAAGTCTTACCACGCTTCCAGTTAATGAAGGCTCAATTGAGGAGGAACTGCCTCCATCTCTTTTGCTAGGCTGTTGGTCGGCCTTAGATCCTTACTGGTTGTTGTCTGGAGCCACTGGATCCTTGCCATATGGGGGGTCTCCAAAAGGAAACTCAAAATTTGGCAGCTGGCTTTCAGAGAGCCAGCGACATAGAAGCTGGAGTTCACCTAATTGCAGAAGTGACATCTCATGATTTGTGTCTTGTACTGCTTATTAGAAGGAAGTCAGTAGGTCCAGCACACACTCAAGAGAGGACAGAGCACTCAGCTGTGTGACTCCCAGGAGGCAGGTCACAGGGGGCCATGTGAGAAGCTGCCAGTCACATTGGGTTTTGGGCAGTAACGTGTAAAGTCATCATAAGCACTTACTATTCTCAATAAGTAAAATTCTCTAGTGCTTAAGATTTAAAATGTCCAGAAAGATCCAGAATGCTCTCTCCTGCCCCATCTCTGGCCACTCACGTCCACTGCTAGAGAAAGCTGGTGTTGGATTATCTGACTCTTCCAGGGGCATTCAGTGTAAGCTGACGCTTGTTGGTAGTACACTGTGCTGTACACCCAGAGTACCTGCAGCTTGCCAGCACACTTCCGGTATGAGGGGCTGCTTCATCAGTCCACAGTTCTCTGTTATGCTTGCATGATAGTCCATTGTGTGGTTATACCATCCATTACTCAATCAGTTCCTTATTAACAAACTTTTGTGTCATTTGTCATCTGTTACAAGAAAGGAGACTTGTGACGAATAACATTGAAATACGTCATTGTGCACTGTGTGGTAATTGTTGGCAGCCTTCCCGGATCTGGAATTGCAGGGTCAGTTTATTCTTTGATAGGTAGTGTCCTTTTACTAGCTTACACTTGTACCAGCATAACATCATAACATTCAAGTTCCACTTCCAGTAAACTATTGGGTAAGAGCTCAGGTGTTTGTATACGGTCCTGACACATCCCACCCCCTTTTGTTTTGTTTTGTTTTGTTTTGTTTTGTTTTGGAGATAGGGTCTCGCTATATAGCTCAGGCTGGCTTCCAATGGGCAGTTTTCCTGCCTCTGCCTCCCAGGTGCTGGGATTGCAGGCATGCACCACTACCCCTGGCATTGCTTTTTATTATAAGCAATCTACTAGTCTACTAATAGAAAAAATTGTTTTTACGTTATAGTTGGGCCCTATCATTGAATCTATGCAGCCATTTATTTATTTATTTTTGGAAAGCAGTACTGGGGTTTGAACTCAGGGCCTCATGCTTGCTAGGCAGGTGCTCTACCACTTGAGCCACTCTACCAGATCTGTTTTGTGTTGGGTATTTTCTAGAGGGTCTCTCAAACTGTTTGCTCAGCCTGGCTTAGAACCACAATCTTAATGATCTCTGCCTTCTGGGTATCTAGGATTACAAGCATGAGCCATTGGCACCTGGTTTGCAGTCATTTATTGATTGAGCACTTTGCTGTGGCAAGAACTGACTTTGCAAACTTTACATCTGTGTCTCAGGATGCAGGTGGGTGCAATAAAGGAATACCCTGTGACAAGTGACAGACCAAAGTACCCTGTACTTTCTTGCCTAGATGAATCCCCTGGGGATCTGGTCAACTTTCACATTCCAGTTCACCAGGTCTGAGTTTGGGCCTAAGAGTCTGCACTTCTGATAGGCTCCCAAGTGAAGCCGATGCCAGGAGTAAACGCACCTTGCTGAGCAAGGACATAAACCACACAGGCATTTAAACATCTTCCCATTCTGCAACAGTCTGAGGTGGATGAGTCCAGGATGAAATGAGCTGCTTAGAGACTTGAGAGCACATAGTGGCCTCTCTCCAGCCACCTTGCCTTGTCTCCCTTGTGTAAGCAGCCGTGGCAGCTCTGAGCACGTCCCCCTCAGAGGGCAGCATCTAAGAGGACTGAAGGGAGGAAGTGAGGATTGAGAAATGGCATTGTGGCTCTTCCTAAGTCTCATTTAAAAAGAAAAATCCTTCCCAGAACCTTACCCTTCCTCTCTAACAATGTGTGTTATCTCTGGTTCTCATGACTGGGATGGCCTCAATTCCCATTTGCATTGGTCCCTGGTACCAGGTGATGGGATTGCATGGCACTTTGCCATTTCCTCATCTCTAAGGGGAATGGGGAATGACTAGTGGGTAGGCAGACATAGTTGTCTGCACAATATATTATCTCAGTTATCCACACCCTAGCTTATTACTGTCCCCATTCTAGAGGGAAGAAAGAACTTGAAGAGATTAATGACTCAAACTATGTATTTTATGTATATATATGTATGTATGTATAGTTCCCATAGATGATGATTGTTTTAGCCACTGTGCTTCTCTGCTTCTGAACAGATATGACAATCGGTGCCGGAACCTGAGCCGGGCACAGGTGGCCCAGAAGTTGGCCCAGGATCCCAAGCCTGCCATCCGCTTCCGCCTGGAGGAGGAGGCACCAGCCTTCCAGGACCTGGTGTATGGCTGGAGTCGGCATGAGGTGGCCAGCGTGGAGGGGGACCCAGTCATCCTGAAGAGTGACGGCTTCCCCACATACCACTTGGCCTGTGTGGTGGATGACCACCACATGGGCATCAGCCATGTACTGCGGGGCTCTGAGTGGCTCGTGTCTACCTCCAAACACCTGCTCCTGTACAAAGCCTTGGGCTGGCAGCCACCTCACTTTGCCCACCTGCCCCTGCTCCTCAATAGAGATGGCAGCAAACTGTCCAAGAGGCAGGGGGACATTTTCCTGGAGCATTTTGTTGCTGCTGGCTTTCTACCTGATGCTTTGCTTGACATCATTACCAACTGCGGCTCAGGGTTTGCAGGTACCACTCACCCGAGCAGTCATGGCGGCATAGTGGGGCACTGCAGAGCTGGGGCTTCATCAGGCCCAGCTCTGCCGCCTAGCAACCTTGGGATCTTAGATAAGCTGACTTCTATTCAGTAATTATTTATTGAGCCTGATAGCATGTGAGTGCTGGGGCTGTAGCATAATAGGCAGAGTCGCTGCCCTGAGAGCGCTTAAAGCCTCCACTGCCTCATCCTTATGGTGGGGATAAGTGTCTCCCTCATGTTGTTAAAGTCAGGATTCACTGAGCTCAGGAATGTGAGGCACCGCTTGTTGCCTGCTGTACAATAAGCACAACTACGGATCCTGTGGTTACTGCAGTTATGCAGGTATCTAGCAGTATCACCAGTGATTCCAAGCATCTAGTTATTCTAAGCTGAGCCCTGAAACTTGGTCCAGGACTTAGAGCCCAAACCCTGATGATCAAGTACCACATAAGATGGCCTCTTAGGGGAAGGATTTCTGAAGTCATAGCAGTGATCATCTGCTTACTGTTGGTTCTGCTCTTGTTTTATTTAACTCTTAAACCCTTGAGGGTAGGTATTTGTTACCCCCACAGTTTGTAAGAAGGTGAGGCTCAAGAGGTCAAGTACCTTGCCATCACACAGCTGGTCAGGGAGATGGCACTTGGGGCCTGTGCCTGACCCTGATGGCTGCAGCTACACAGAAAGGGAGCTGCTGCTTGTAAGGAGCAGTTCTACCCTGGGGCTCTGCACTGTGGCTGTCCTTGAATCGATATGAAGCTCACGTGAGTGTGATGCCCAGGCCCAGTCAGAGCCAATTGCACCACACTCTTTTGGATAGCCAGGCCTTTTAGAGTAGTGGGGATGGTCTTACCTAAAGATTGTTTTTATTTCCCTTAGTGACAGAACCCTTTCTGAAAATGAAGGCTCATTCGGGCTCTTGAAATATAAGTAGCTACAAGTCTGGTCCTTTTGGTGCAAGTAGAACAAGGAGCCCAGAGCTTGCTTACTCAGTCTCCCCTGTGTTTGAAAATGGAAGGAGGGTGGGCCACAGTGGGGCACACCTGTAATCCAGTAACTTGGGAGCCTGAGGCAGGAGGATTACAATGTCTAGATCAGCCTAGGCAACATAGCAAGTAAAAATAAAAACGAAGAAAGAGAAAAACAGGAAGGAAAGAGAAGGAGAAGAAGCTGAACAGCTGGTGGCCTCACTTGCAGAGAACCAGATGGGCAGGACCCTGCCGGAGCTGGTAACCCAATTCGACCTGACCCGGATCACCTGCCACTCAGCTCTGCTGGACCTGGAGAAGCTCCCAGAATTCAACAGGTGAGTGGGGCATGGAGACCCCCTGTGGGAAAGGGCCTTACCCAGCAATGGAAGATATAGTGGACCTTGGAGTCACACGTGCCTTATTCTGACTTTGGGCCCAGCTGTATAATGTTCCATGACCACAGGTAAATCACATAACCTCTTTGGCCTCCACTTTCTCTTTTCTAACATGGGGCCAATGGTAGTGTCCATCTTGTGCGATTGCTGTAATAATTAACTATTTCGTGAAGGCATCTTGCTAGTGCTGCCACACAGAAGTGCTTCACAAATGGTGGGGACTGGTTTTATCGTTACCATTATATTCCTGGCCACCTCTTGCATGGCTTTTGCTAATACCCACAGCCTGGAGAGAGGCATCTTCACTTAGAATCACTCCCTGTCCTACACCCAGCTGACACAGTGCTGTTTTATGGCATTAAGTTAATATTCCCAGTGCTTGGTATTTCAAGGAGTTCTTCACTTTGAAATCTCCAAATATGGTTACAGTTGAGATCATTGTTGATTGTGTCCTGAGGCAAAGGACATTAGTGGGAAGGACACTGACCAGGTTCACACCTGGGGACCAGGAACTCTTTGGTGCCTCTTTTGAGCACTGGTCTGGGGACAGGCTCTTCTCAGTACAGAGAATTCACATCAACTGCAGGGTATTTTGTTTGTTTGGGAGGGGAATTGGGGTTTGAACTTAGGGCTTCACACTTGCAAAGCAAGTAGTCTACCACTTGAGCCACACCCCTAGTCCATTTTGCTCTGGTAATTTTGCCCCAGCTGGCCTTGAACCATGATCCTCCAAATCTTAGCCTCCCAAGTAGCTAGGATTACAGGTGTGAGCCACTGGTGCCTGGCAACTGCAGTTTCCTTTACTTCTCCTGTCAGACCCGTGAGATGAGTTGTGTGGTTTTGCCCTGTGTTACCTATGAGGAGTCCATGGCAGAGAATTTAGATGGGCAGCTCAAGTCTGCACAGTAAACAGTGGATATCTCTTGTTTTGTGTGGAGTGTGTGATATGTAATGTGTATGTCTAGCTTTGTCATTATGGAGAAAGTGATATTTCAGAGAGAGATGGAATCAGGTCAGGGAGAGAACCCTGTGATCCTATCCACATCTCCCTGAAGCACAGAGGTGGATTTTGCAGAAGTGGTGGGTGGGGGTGGAAACAGAGCATTAGGATTAATCCCACAGGCCTAATGCAGCCAGAGCTCTGCCTACAGACATTTCCGTAGTCGAGCCAGTGGTGTGATTATTTCAAAAGTAGTAGTAAATATAGTAATGGCAGTTGGAGCAGAGTAGTACTAGTGGTACTAGTAATTAAGTAGTATTAGTAATTAATATTTATTTAGCACTTAAGCTATAAACTGGGCCAGGCCCAGGGACCTTGCGTGTATTATTTCAGGCATGGCTATGAGGATCTGTTGATTTTTTTTTTTTCTTCCTACTGTCCTATCTAGCCACCAAGAAGATTCTATAAACAGTTTCATTGCTTTTTTTTTTTTTTTTTTTTTTTTTTTGGCAGTACTGGGGTTTGAACTCAGAGCATTTTCAAGATGGGGTCTTGAAACTATTTGCTGGCTTCAAAGTGTGATCCTCCTGATCTCTGCCTCCTGAGTAGCTAGGATTACATGCCTGAGCCACTGGCATTCGGCTCATTGCTATTTTCCTTGATGCTTAGGTTAGCCCCAAGCTTTTGGTCCTCCTGCCTGTGCCTACTGAGTGCTGGGATCACTGGCATGCACTGTTATCTGCACTGTGCTCCAGATCTCAGGAACCATGTTTTGACCTGTCCTTTCATGCCAAAGCCAGTCCAAGTTGAGGCTCGGAGGCAGACACTCCGATTTTGCTGTGTGAACTTAAGTGCATTGAGGAAGGTGGCAAGCCAGTTGAGACCAGGGAGCAGAGGGGCAGGCCAACTGGGACGTCTCTGGGTGTCTAAACTGACAGCTTCCACCTGCCCTAGCCATTGAACACTGTGGAGGACAAGGGCCCTTTATGACCAGATTTGCTCATTTCCCTAGGGAAACCCGAACTCTTTTAATGTAATCTCTTCCTAAAATAAATATCCACTACTGGGCTGGGGTGTACCTCTGGCCGGGTGGTTAGCACGTACAAGGCCCTGGATTCAATCTTCAGCACCACAGAAAGAAAGAAAAAAAAAAAAAAAAGGTAGAGTGGGGAGTGCAGAAGGAAAATTCAACTATGTTAAAGTACTGAAAACAGCCTAAACTCTCAGGGTGTCTATTTCCAGCCTTGGTCAAATCTCTGTTTTTTTTTTTTTTTTTTTTTTGTCTGTACTGGGGTTTGAACTCAGGGTTTTGTGCTTGCTAGGCAGGTGCTGTACCACTTCAGCCATGCTGCCAGTCCTTTTCTTTTATAAATGTAAAGAAAATTCTGATTCTAGCATTGGGACAGCTCACATGATATGTCAATCTTCAAGCTCCATTTGCTGCCCTGGGGGAATGGGTTTGGTGGAGCAGGGAAGCCAGTGCAGTGCAGCCCCTTGACTTCTTCTGCAGACTGCACCTCTGTCGGATGGTAAACAGTGAGACCCAGAGACGCCAGCTGGTGGGGAGGCTGCAGGCCCTTGTGGAGGAGGCATTTGGAAGCCAGCTGCAGGACAGGCATGTCCTGCACCCAGCATATTTGGAGAGGATCATCCTGCTGAGACAGGTGTGGGGCTAGAGATTCTGGGAGATTGAACCATTCATTCCCCTCCAAGTGTGTGTAGGGCCTGTCTCCAGTGCACACAGTGACTGCCTCTTTCCCCAGGGCCACATCTGCCGCCTGCAGGACTTGGTCTCCCCAGCGTATTCTTATCTGTGGACTCGCCCTGCTGTGGACCGAGCACAACTGGACGCCACCTCAGAGAAAGTGGATGTGATTGCCAAGCACGTGCTGGGGTGAGTGCCGCAGGTCCTGCTCAAGGTTCCATGCCCTCCCTAGCCCTTGGCTGGCCCCAGCAGAGACCCATGGCTCCAAAAAAAAATGCTCACTGGCTGGTCTCTTCAGCCAGGGACCCAGCTCTTCCTGGACCCAGTCAGTGGCTCAGTGGCTTGGACTGACCTTGGTTGTATCCCAGCTCTGCCTTCCACTTACCAACGTTTTCTTCTTCCCCCAGTGATTTCACTTTGGCCAGGTGAAGCTCACCAAGCTAATATGAGGCAGAGATGATATAATGCTTAAGAGTATCGTAGTGCTTACGACAACGGTAGAAAATACAGCCAAGGCTGTTGTAAGCAAGAGGGGAACCATTGCTTGTGTGCTAACAGGCTAGGAGTGCCAGCCTAAAGCCCATCTTTTTTTCTTTTAATATTATTTGTTATTTATTTATTTTTGTGGTACTGGAGGTTGAACTTAGGGCTTCATACTTGCCAGGCAGGTGCTTTACCCCTTGAGCCATTCTTCAAGCCATTCCTCCAGCCCATCTTAGTGCAGAGGCCACGCTGTGTCTCCAAGACGTACTTCTCCTCACTGTGCCTTCGACTTCCTTTCCCTTTTCCTCCATGCTGGCCAGTCTTTCTTCAGAGGCTCTGTGTTTAGCAGGCAGAGGGTGGGGTTCTTTACCAGACGAAAGATGGAAGTACATTTCTCCCTGTGTCACAGTCTGCAGGAGGCAGTCTGGCACTGAAGAGCTTTTCTCCTTGTCTTACATTTTGTTCTGGTCTGGGCAGCCTGTGGTAGCTCATGGACTGTCCATGGTTCAGCAGAGGAGGAGGAGGAAATGGGAAGGGTTGGAGTGACCCTTCTCCTTAGCTGCACGTATTTCCCCCATGTTCTGCTGGCTAGAACTATGTTCTGTGGCCACACCAAGCTGCCAGGACATCTGGCAAATGACGTTTTTAAGTTCAGCAGCCATGTGCCTGGCTAAAACTTCTGTTGCTGCATAAGAAAGAGGGGAAACCAGGCAAGATGGTGCATGCCTGCAGTCCCAGTCACATGGGAGGCTGAGGCAGAAGGCTCTCAAAAATTCTGGTTTTTTCCTTCTGGTGGTACTGGAGTTTGAACTCAGGGCCTTATGCTTGCTGGGCAGATGCTCTGTCACTTGAGCCTTTCTGCAAGCCCCCTGAACACTCTTGAGCTCAGGAGCTCAAGTGGAGCCTGGCAGCATGGTAGCCTGTCTATAAAAATGAATGGAAAGGAAAGAAAGGGTACTGGGGCATCATTGCCCTCTCTCAGTCTCTCACGGTAGTCCTAAGACAGTCTCTTCATCTCTCCAACTCAGAAACTCAGCCTCAGACCCCACAGTTTTGAGATTACCTCCTTGTTTGGGATTAACTCTTACTGGCCTCATCTTCCTGTCTCTGAACCAGTCACCAAAGCCTGGGGAACTAGATGTGCCGACCAGCGCCCAGCTTTTGTTAGAATTATTACTTCTGCTATTTACTGTACTACCAATCTTGGAAAAGTTGAATTTAAAATCCCTACAATATGGACACAGAAAGAACTCTGGGAGGATGCCAATAAAACTTTCAATTTGTTGAATGAAATTATATTTTCACTATGGAGTGTAGAAGCTTCTATTCCATAGTTCCTCTTCACTGTAGTCAGAGTGCTAGACTGTTCCCTCAGAGGGATATATCCACTTAACTGTTAAACCAGATTTAGAAGTCATTCACTGAAGAAAGACTAAATGCTGTGCACTGTCTGATTCCTTTGTTAATGATCTCCCACCCCCAAAACAAAAACAAAACCATAATGCTGCAGTGAATAACCTTGCATGACTAGCATGTTTGCAAGTATATCTCCAGGATCAATCTCCAACAGTTATTATTAACACTCTTAACCTAGGATATTCCACAGTAGGAGCCTTTAGTTCTAATTCATTTAGACTCCATGTCTTAATTCCTCACCCTGCCATGAGATTAGGTTTCAGACACTGGGACTCCCAGTCAAGTCAAGAAAGTTGACACCCAACTATTCAAAAGCTGCCAGATGCTAGAAGTTCCTTTTGTGCCCATGCCAAGCTCTGGGCCAGCTCTAGCATGTCTTGAGTTGCCTTTACTAGCCACCTGGGGCCTGTCTTTCCTTGGCAGCCACTTTTCCATATTAATGTAATAACATGAGAGTGTTTTAATATTACAGTGTCCATTTCCTTTTCATACTGCCTTTTGTTTGTTTGTTTTGTTTTGTTTTTGTAGTACTGGGGTTTGGGGTTTGAACACTGCCTCACACTTGCTAGTCAGGTGCTGTATAAATTGAGCCATACCCCCTAGCCTCTTCCCACATGACATTTTATGTTTTTAGTGTTTGTCTCATCCCCTACATTTCATAAATAGCAGCAATCCTGTGGCCCAGTTAATGATTGTCTTTGTCCAATGTGGGTGTTGATAACAAATTACTATAGACTAGTGACTTAAAAACACATTTATTTCTCCCAGTCTAGAAGCTGGAAGTTCACAGTCAAGGTGCCAGCCCATTCAGTGTCTAGTAAGGACTAGTTTCCTAGGCCTTTTTCCCTTTTTTCTTTTCACTGTGCCCTCACATGGTGGAAGGGATAAGGGGTCTCTCTTATATAGGCACTAATATTATTCCCTCCCATAACCTAATACCATCACCTTATGAATTTTGACACTTAACCATAGTAATGAGGCAGTAAGAATGGTTACTTTTAGGATGGTGTGGTGGTACATGCCTATAATCCTGTGCATATGATCCCAGCTACTCAGGAGGCTGAGACAGGAAGGTTATAAATTCAAGACTAGACTGGGCAACGTAGATTCTATCTCAACAAAGAAAAGATAATCAGAATGATTACTTTTGCCTAAAATTCTGGCAGTTAGAAATCTGTGCACTAAAAGGCCGTTTCTTCAGATCACTTCTGAACCCAGTTCCTGAGCCAGTAGTACTCCCTACTAAACTGACCTTTGGAACACAGGTGTGTGGACCCAGTAACAAGCAAGTGTGTCAGAACTAGGTCATGGATCATCCATGACAGTGAATATCTGCAGCCTCAGTCCCTCTTCATTGTCTCCAATTTGGGGTCTCAGCTGATAGCGCAGGTAAACTTGGAAGTTGCTGTGGAATATACGCTCCCCACCCTACTCCCATCTCTTGCTCCAACTCGGAGTCAGGGCTGCGCCATGTGGTTTGCAAGTCCAACTCTAACCTAACTGAATGGGGGAACTCTTGAAACTCAGACATGCTGTGGGGAGAGGACCTCAGCTGCACTGCCAGGAGGGCAGGGATGGCTTAGAGCCTTAAACAGGCCAGTTTGTGGGAAATGCAAGGTTCAAGCAAGCTGCTGGCATCTCCTAATGTCTTTCTTTCTGCCCTTCTGTGCTACATCCTCAAAGATGTCTTCCCCCAGCTGTGTTTCAGGTAATTTCCAAGAAATTACCCATTGTTTCATTCTGTGTCTGACCCATTCCTGAGTTTCTTTTTAGATCCTCTTGCAATGTCTCTGAGTTCTTGGATGTAATAAATATTAACTAATTTTTTTTTTTTTTTTTTTTTTTTTGGTGATGCTGGAGTTTGAACTCAGTGCCTCATGCTTGCTAGACAGGCACTCTACCAACTTAAGCCACTAGTCAGCCTAACTAATTTGAAGTTTTTATTGAAACTTTAATACTTCTGAGTACTTGCCATGTGTTCAGGCACTCACTATAGGCAGTGCTGTGCAGTATCAGCTGTCTATGACAGCCCTGTGCAGTGTTACACTGTTGTTATCCCTGAAGTACAGGTGAGAAAATTGACACACAGTGATTACATGACACTGAAGTGGCACTTAGTAAATCCTCTTATTATGGTGCTTTCTTAGTTCCCCGTATTATGCCCACTTTCCTGAATTGTCTATGTATGTGCTCCCTTCATTGATTTCCCTTTTCCAATGTGTGTGTGGCGGGGTGTGGCAGATATCCCCTCGTGCCCCCTGCCCTCAAAGAAAAAGAAACAGGCTTATATTTTAGATGATGAATATCTTGTGAAGTTCACCCTCCCACTTGCCACTGGCCCATGGAGGCCCCTAACAGACTGGCCCTCTTCTAGGCTTTTGGAAAGATCTGGTATGAGCTTAACTCAGGAGGTACTGAATGGAGAATTGAAGAAGCTGTCAGAAGGTCTGGAAGGCATCAAGCACAGTAACATGATGAGACTCCTCCGAGTGGCCCTCAGTGGACAGCCAGTGAGTGGTGAGATGGGCTGGGCTGTTGCCTGGAGCCCCCCTTTCATCCCTTGCAGCTAACATTTCCTGGCAGACAATAAGCCCAGTTTGGGAGATACAAAGATGGCTGAAACATGATCTTTCCCTCAGTGAGTCATTCAAAAGATTATTGAGTATCTTCTGTGTACAAGCATTCTGCAAGGTACAATGGATACAGTGATGCACAGAACACACATGAGCCTCACCTTTGTGGAGTTTATAGTTCACTGAGGGAAGCAGACATACTAAGTTTACCTAATGCAGGAAAACAGACTCCAAGGGGGCAGGTGCTGGTGGCTCATGTCTGTAATCCTAGCTACTCAGGAGGCAGAGATCAGGAGGATCACGGTTCAAAGCCACCCATGCAGATAGTTTGTGAGACCCTATCTCGAAAAAAACCCATCACAAAAAAGGACTGGTGGAGTGGCTCAAGGCATAGGTCTTGAGTTCAAGCCCCAGTACCCCCCCAAAAAAAAAAGACCAATAAGGGCTGGGGCTGTAGCTCAGTGGTAGAGTTCTTGCCTCGCATGTGTGAGGTACTGGGTTTCTATCCCCAGCACCACTAAAAAAAACCCCACAAATCATGCCTCTTGTAGTGTATGTTGCAGGTTGGGGCTAGCTGGGGATGACTTCTGCAGACAGGCTGAGCAGTTCCAGACAATAAGGCAATGTTTTTTCTTTCCTTTCTTAGCAAGGACCCCCTGTGGCTGAGATGATGGTGTCCTTGGGACCACAGGAAGTTCGAGAACGAATCCAGAAGGCGCTTTCCAGCTAGGGAGAGGATGATCAGAACAGCAGGCCCTAGGAACCTATACCCTTGGAACTGCTGTGGGAAGGAAGTGGCTTGGGGCCCAGGCTTGCAGAAGGGATCAGGAGTGGAAATGGAGACTCTGACTGCTCCCCAGCAGGCCCATCCTGACCAGGTGGCCAGGAAAGCCCAGCTCATTGCAGCTCCTTGATTCTGGGAAGGGTATCCTACTGCATGGCTTTCTATACCTCATTCCACAGCAGAGGTTCATAACTGGATCATAGAGAAGTTGGTTTCCCAAAACAGTTCAGAGGGCTCTGATACTAGTTGCTAGGGCTGCCATCACAAAAATACCACAGAACTAGGCAACTCAAACAATAGAAATGTATTTTCTCACAGTTCCAGAGGCTGAAAGTCCAAGATCAGGTGTCAGTGGGGTTTGTTTTTTCTTGGGGCCTTTCTTCCTGCCTTGCAGACAGCTGTCTGTGTCATCCCAGGATCTGTCATCTATGTCCGTACATCCCTGGCTTCTTTGTGTGTGTCCTAATTTCCTCTTTCAAAGATACCAGTCAGATTAGGGCCTGCCCGCCCTAACAGCCTCGTTTTACCTTAATACCTCTTTAAAGCCCCTGTAGCCAAATACAGTCCATATCCTGTGATACCGAGGGGTAGGGCTTCAACATGTATTTGATCTGGAGGACACAGTTCAGTCCATAACACCTTGGCAACAGTGTAGATTTATGGATCCTAGGACAATAACAGATGATTGACAAGCTGGGCCAAACCAGACTTCAGGCTTTCTTTGGGGATTATAAAGGGAGAAGTTACTCATCTGCCACATGTGTTTGGTGTTACTCTTTTGACCCTGGGGCAGCAGCCTGTATCTCCTTTCCCTTAAGGTCAGCTGTTCTCTTTCCATTCCCCCAGACATGGTCCTTGAACTGGAGACCTTTGCCCTGCCTATTTTGTGTCTTTTTCTTCATATCTACCCCTTCTTTCCACCATTGGTGTGAGTCTGCAATGAGGGTCTGAGGTGACTGGAAATAGCTAAAGTGAAAGGAGGGTGAGGATAAGGCTTCTAGGCCTCCTGTGGTGGTCTCTGCCTCCCCGTGTTCACCCCCTGTGTGGCTCCTCACACATTGAATAGGGCTGACTTGTGTAACTAGGAAATGGTAGACCCTGATTGCTACTGCTTTTTTTTTTTTTTTTTCCCATGCTTGCTAGCTCTACCATGCACTAGCTCTTCCATGACAGAGTCTGGAAGCCAGCTTCCAGATCATGAAGACACTCAAGCAGTCTTATGGAGGGATCCATGTGGCAAGAATGGAGGCCTCTTGCCAGCAGGCCTGAGGATGAGCCATGTTGGGAGGTGATCTTCCAGCCCAGCCAAGCACCCTGGTGACTGACCTCCCTGAGAGACCCAGAGCCAAAACCTCTGAGCGAAACGGCTCTGGAATTTCACACACAGATTAGGAGGTGGTAGATGTTTATTGTTTAAAGCCACTTGCTTCGGGATCATGTGTTACCCAGTAATAGATAAGTGCAGTCTCTCCTTGCCCAGAAAGAGTGGGGAAAGAGGATTGAAGAGTTTGTTGAGTTTTATAGAGTCCTAGTCTTTGCTTAAAAACACCAAATAAAGTTCTTTTGTTGCAAGCAATATAAACCAATTAACTGAAGAAGTTTGTTAGAGATTATGAGAAAGCCAAAGAGTCTATGGACAAGCCAAAGAAACAGATCGTGGAGAAGACAGGGAGCCAGGCAGCAGGAGCTAGTGGCCAGTCTTGTCCAAGTCTGCAGGGGGACAAGTGAACTGCAGTCATTTTTGTCATCATTTATTTCTCTGTGTCTTCTCCTTCAGTTTTGGGTCACTGAGCTTAAGATTCAGTCTCTTGAGTCCTACTCTTGAGGCTAACTGATGTCATGTTGCCAGATTGGCCAAGTACAGATAGTACCCTGGGAAAAATATGCAAGGAAAACCCAAAGAGCTTTTTCCAGAAGGCAGGGGAATGAAAAAAACACCAGTCTATTGTGTACTTACTACATTAGCCTCGACCACTTGTGGGTTCAGATGATGCTAAGTGCTTTAGCCAATCCTGTTGAATCCTCACGACCTTGTGAGACAGGTGGTGCTAGTACTGTTTTTATTATAGATGGGGAAACAGGCTATGAAAAATTAAGTAGCATTTAAATTCAGGCCTATGGCAACTCTTAAGCTACCAAGTAGCATTAGAACTTCTTCTGAAGCATTAGGAATGATCATAGCCAGGCCTGGTGGTGTGCACCTATAATCCCAAGTGGAGGCATGAGGATTTTGAGTTTCAGGGCTGCCTAAGGTGACCCTGTCACAAAAAAACAAAAAAGTAGGTGAATATGGTCAAAGTACATTATATGCATGTATAGAAATAGTTAGAATGAAATTCCTTTGTACAATTAATATATTTTACTTAACAAAAACAAGAATAGTTTTTAAGAAAACTCATTGATACTTGCTCAAGGAATGTAAACATTTTAGCAAAGTAATCAAAATGCCAAGTTGATTGTGAAATCTGATCGTGGGTCATCCTTGAAGACTCTGTCAAGTGAAATGTTCGTCATAAAAAGACAAACACTCTATGATTCCACTTACGTAAAGCACTCAGAAGAGCCAAAATTACACCAACAGGAGCATGGTAGCTGTGAGGGTCTAGAGGCAGAGGAAGTAGGTGGTTACAACTTCATGGGTACAGTTTCAGGGTGGGTTATTTCCTTTTTGTTTGTGGAACTGTGGTTCTGAACTCAGTGCTTCTCACTCTACTCCTTGAGCCACACCTCCAGTCCATTTTGCCTCAAACCACGATCCTCCTGATATCAGCCTCAAACCTCAGCCTCTCAAGTAGCTAGGATTACAAGTGTGAGCTGGTATCCAGCTCAGAGTTTCAGTTTTAATAAATGTTAGTTGCTGTTGTCACCATCCTTACTGTTGTTTAATCCTTAGAAACAGTGATCTTAGGTGGCAAGGCATAGAAACACTCAGTAACTGGATCCCCTGCAGAATTTATTGGAAACAACCCTCACACATCTAAAGGGCAGAACTTCCAAATGAACCTCATGAGATATGGGTATCTCTACCTGGAATCACTCCCTCTTCCCCATCCACAAGGTAACCAAGTTTCATCTTCCTGAGACCACACAGTTTCTGACATTTGTCCTGGTGTGTCTGCTCCCCTCATCTTCCTTCTGTATGCTGGCTTTCTCTGCATCTCTGCACTTGTCCCAGCCCTAAAGCTAAATCATGATGTCTGTTCTGCACAACCAGCTAAATACCCATTGTTGTACATCCAGACTTCCAGGAGAGAATCTAATTGGCTTTGCTGGGGTCAGCTGTGTACCCCTAGTCCATCAGCTGTGGTCAGTGGGACAGTCATGTAATAAGACCATGGCTACAGGAGACCCACTGTTCCTTTCCCTCAGCATATTTTCTCAGTGTTATCTAGAGATCACCCACCCCAGAAAGGTACATTTTACAGAAAATTCAGAATCTCATTCATACTATCTTTACTCTACTTTATTTTTTTCTCATAGTACTTAATATGATATGAAATTGCATATTTGTATGTTTATTGTCTCAAAAGACTAAGACATGCTGGGCGCTAGTGGCTCACATCTGTAATCCTGGCTACTTAGGAGATAGATCAGGAGGATCAGGGTTCGAAGCCAGCCTGGGCAAATAGTCCTTGAAAATAACACAAAGGCCTGGTGGAGTGGCTCAAGGTGTATGCCCTGAGTTCAAGCTCCAGTACCATTAAAAAAAAAAAAAAAAATGCAAAACGGCTGGTGGAGTGGCTCAAGTTGTAGAGCCCCTCTTAGCACGCATGAAGCTCAGTTCAAACTTCAATATTGCCAAATTAAAAAAAAACCTAAGGCAGACATCAGGAAGTCTGTTATTCTTGGTTATAACCACAGCACCTGGCACATTGCCTGATCCACAGTACAGAATCAAGTCAAAGTCACATGAAGAAAAAAAATGAGTGCTTCCTCAATCAGACAAGTTTCTTCAGAAGTGGCTGTCATCAGCTGGTCTAAGTGACAGCTGTCCCAGGTTCATGTGTACCCATTCCAGGAAATCCTACCTTTTTTGCATGACTTTCTGAATTAGGGGTGTAGTTCAGTGGTAGAGCATTTGCCTATCATGTGCAAGGCCCTAGGTACAATCCCAGCACAGTCCCCCCCAAAAATAAATGATTTGCTGTTGCAGCAGCCGGCTGGCCCACTGCCTATAATTTGCCTTGTCTCCAACTATTTGGAAAGACTACTTTTGTGAAAGACTGAAGTGAAGGAAAGACAAGTGGGGTGGTTCCATATAGAGGGGTGTATAGTTAATGGAGACTAAAATTAGAAGTTGCCTATTCAGTTTTTTGTTTTTCTTTTGCAGTACTGGGGTTTGAACTCGGCCTCACACTTGCTAGGCAAACACTCAACACTTCAGCCACTCCACCAGCCCTATTTTTGTATTTTTTTTTTTCAAGGTAAGGTCCTGTGAACTATTGGCCTTGGGCTGGCTTCAAACCACCATATCCATTAGTTAATTTTTTTTGAGACAGTGTCTTAACTAAGCAAGACTGGCCTCAGACTCATGATCCTCCTGTCTCGGCCTCCCAGGTTCTAGGATTGCACTTACGCACCTCCACTCCACGCCTAGCATCAGTTAATGTTTTTGTCAAATGAAATCTTAGCTTCCAGGGACCAGGACAGTGAATACTGAGGAAAAGAAGACCTTTTCTGATAAAAGGTGATAAAGAGTCCAAAGAAGGAAACTTTTTATTGGATTTGGAGCTGTTGAGGAACTTTACAAATTAAGTGACCTTTGAATTGGGTTCTGAGGAATACGTAGGAATTTCCCAGTAGCTAGGGGCTGAAGGGTATTCTAAGCAGAGGAATGAGGAGAACTTCACAAGGTTGGAGATGGCTGGAAGCAAGGTAGGGATTGAGGGAAGGCAGAAGTGGCTGCTGAGAAACCAGGCAAGATGAGATCCAAATGGCCTTTGCCAGCTAAACTATGTCTGGGTATTGTCTGATCCAAATCCCCAAATCCAGGTTCTAAGCAGTTACCCACGTAACAGGAAGTTCCAGGGTGAGACAGGCTCCAGGGCTGGTTCACTTAATGGGATTTGCACCTCTGCTCTCCTGTACCACAGCCTGTGGTCGGTTCTGCTCACAGTTGGGTGGAGCAGTCAGGCAGAACTCCGCACTTCCTTCTCGAATCTGGCAGAGAGAGTGGCTCCCCAGGTGGTCTCTCCTCTCCTACCAGCAAAGAAACCCTTTTCTAAGTAACGTCCCATACATACTGGACTTCCCCACTTTGGAGCTACTGGGGAATTCAGGGTCCTCAGAGATGATCAAACTCCGAACTGGGGCTGGAATCTGCTTGGCTGGTCAGGTGGTAGTCCCCTAAACAAAGTGGAGGTTTGGTTAGTGAGACTGGGGGTCTGAGCGGCCATGAGGGGGATGGGGAAAAGCCTTGACATGTTCTAAGCAGAGAAGTGACCTGATCAGATGTGTGACCTTTGGAAGGTCATTCTAGCAGCCTTCCAATCTGAAGACAGATTGGAGCAGGGCCATTCCAAGCAGGGAGCTCTGAGGGAGATGATTGGATAGTGAGGAGGACTGTTGTCATGAGCCATTTTTCCTCATGATGGCTTAAGACTTTTTTTTTGGTGGGACTGGGATTTGAATGCAGGACTTCACACTTGAACCATGCCTCCAGTCCATTTTACCCTGATTATTTTGTAGATGGGGATTTCATGACTATTTGGACTGGCCTCGAACCTCAGTTCTCCCAGTCTCAGCCTCCAAAGTAGCTAGGATTACAGGCGTGAGCCACTGACACCTACTATGTCCTGGAACTTTTTAGTCAAGGTTCTCCAGAGAAACAGAACCAATTGGACACACATCTAAGAAGGCTTTGGCTCACAGGGTTATAGGAGCTGAGAAGTCTGACCATCTGCTGTCCTGGAGGCCTGGGAAAGCCAGTGCTAGAGCCAGGAGTACCAATGTTCCAGCTCAAGCTGTGGAGCAGAGATAATTCAACCTCCTCCTGCTTTTTATTCTTTTCAGCCCCTCAACAAATTAGAAAAAGCTCACTCACACTGAGGACAGCTATCTGTTTTTCTCAGCCCCTCAGTTCCAGTACTCGTTTCCAGAAA